TTGAATCTTTTTTTTTTTTTAGACAAAAAGGATTTCTGTTTCCTCTCTCTTTCTCTATATCGTCCCATATAATGTCATATTTGCCACGCACATAATCTTGAAATCCACGTCGCCAGAAATCATTCAGATGACTGCGTCGGATCCTGCCACCATTTATTCTATCCATAGAGGCGCATCGATATGCGGTTATGCGAATCTCATTTTCTACTATGGCTGCCGTAGCTTCTTCTCCGGACGAGATAAGCCGTGTATCCGTGTTGGAACTTAAAGGATACGGCTGCGTGTCTTTGAAAGAAGTGCGGGAGGCCACAGATAAGCCTCGATGTTTTCTGAAGTAATGTTCGTCATAATATTAATAATGCATCCCATCGCCGTGTTTCTCAATATAAGCTTCAATCGTTTTTATAATCCAATATCGTACACTAAAATACAGACGACCTCTTTGTTTTCCTATTATTTCAGTCAATAAGTCTTTTTTATCTAATATTTAAATATTTCAATCGTTTAATAAAGGTTTGCTGTTTGTTTATATACAGAATGTGAGTAATAGAAAAGATACAATAAATTTTACAACTTTAAAATATAATATTTTAAACATATATATTTAATTTTAAGTTTAACAAATTTCTAATTATATTTAATTTTTAAATTCTATTTAGAATTTTTAACATGATAACTTTTTAATATTAAAATTAACTTTTAAAGACTTCTACTATATAATAACAATTAATTAGGCCTTTAAAATCCGTCATATTTTAATAGATTATGTATCGTAATAGATTTGATGGATCTTCAAATTCCACTAATTAACTAATTAAAGTTTAAAAATATATTCTATAAGTAAGTTGCGGCAAACAATTTCTCGTAACTCGATCAGTGCGTATATAGTACATGATGTGTGTGTATGTGACATGTGATCGAGACGTGTCTCTTCGTCACTAGGATAATCTTTTAAGATCTGCTGAACCAACCGATCGGGTTTCACAGCTTTTCAATATGTAATGGGGCGAACAAATTATATCGCGCCGTGTCTAGCACACGGATGACGTCGAATGATGGATCACTCGGATTTTTGATTTTAACCATGTAAAGAAAACTCCAAGGTCATTATGTTAAAATTTTTGCCTTTAGTTAAGCTTGAAAAATTGCAGTTGAATCAAAAACATTTTATAACTTTAGTTTTTAAATACGGATTAATATAACGCGTTTTGGATAAAACATACATTTAAAAGTTAGTCCGAAATTAACTCTTGAATGATGTATATACATATAAAAAGTTAGAGGAGACGGAAAGAAGTTTATACACATAGCAATACAGAATTAAAAAAAAATAAAATCGTAACAAAAGTTTAAATAAAATATGATTTATCTTTAATATAAAATAAATTTAATTTTACATATCAATAATATGGTTTTTGCACGCGTTTATACTCTATAATAAAATTATATTATAAATGCATATCATAGAAAAAGAAAAATTTTGAAATTGTCATCGTTGCACAAACCTATTTGCTGTATAGATTAATATTATTTCTATTTATATATATTCAATCGAAAATTCAATAACACATGGCTTTATAATGATGTGGAGAAAAAACAAATAATAGAAGAGGGATGAAAGAAATAGAATGGAACCAGCATAATATCTATGTCAAGTGAAAGTAAAAAAAGACAGAAAGAAGATAAAAGATCTCAAAGAAACAAAAAGAAAAAGAATGAAAGTATTTGAAACTAGAGTCCCTTACTGAAAATGGAAACAGAAGATATAAGCTTTTGAAAAGAGAAAAATAGAAAAAGAAGAATGAAATGGAGAAAGAAATAATTTAAAAAAATAAGATGTGCAAAAATTATTTTGGAATTCATTGTTTTTATACATTTGCAGCATCATTAAATTTTTAATCTCTAAAATTTGTCATTTTTATTTTTGAGAATACATGTATAAGATTCAAATGTGTTCTATTTTTAAAGATTTCAAAATTGTCAGATTCTTATCTTTAGACTCTTTTATGTAGACTTTTAAAGATTTAAATTTTGAGAAGTTCTTATCCTCAATGATCTGAGGAACATGTGATTTACGACTTTTTGATTAAATTTTTCTTTGTTTAAATATCTGAAAATTTAAATGATATTGAAAATTGTTATGATAATAATTGTGTAAGAACTTCTTCAAGAACTATTCCTTTTGTTGATTGCGTGGGATTCTGAACAGCAGATCCGAAACGAAGAAAGACAAAGAAAAGAAGAT